GGATCAGCTGTTCCTCAGGGGCATAAGTAGAGAGGCTGCAGCTGAGCGATTGCTTTGATCCCTGCTTTCCCTCCTCTTGAGGGAAAGGAGGGGGAAAAAGACCCGATGAATGACGAATTGATTCATTCTTCCTCAGATCACTGAGGGGGTAATTCATGGTTCATGAATCGGCCCCATCTCTACTCATCAATCCACTGGGCTTTATGGTGTATCTTCCATACAGCTGCCTCCCTCAGATGGCATGACTATTCCTCCTAAATCTGCCTGAGGAACTTTTCTATCTTCAGCTTTGTGTCTTCAGACATTTCTTATAATTTTTTTTAAAAAATGCTGCAACATTTGTGCATTAATCCAACAATTCCATGGCTGATAATAGCAGAAAATGCTTTCTGGCTCATTTACAAGCCTCTCTCTTTGGTGTGTGTGTGTGTGTGTGGGGGGTCTACAGGAAAGCTTCTGGGAACATATTTTGTGTCTCTAGTTGTGGTCTTTGAATATTTGAGAGTAAAGTGTTACCTATTGTAGTCTCCTAAATACCATAACAAGAGATGTCGAACATCTTCTGCCACTTCAGGTAGAACAATAAAGGGCACCCAGGGTGCATTAAATTATTGAGTACTCAATGAAGAAAACAGAAGATATTGTTTCCTCCATTGCAGCAATAAAAATACTGTACTATAATGATACAGAACTACTCATTTGCTTCACTTTTTGGAAATCCGTCATCTGCTGCCTCATCTCACCTAATAGTAAGTTTGGGTAAACCTTACATGTTTCCTGCAAGGAAAATGGAAATTTATTTCACTTCACTTCACTTCATTTCATTCTATTCAGTAGTGATAAAAGGATTCAAGTTGGCTCAGTGTTGAAAAATAGAATAAAACCCACAAAAATTATACATTAAATACAAAGTATAACAATAGTAAACATACACTTAATGACCGAAACACTTAAAATGTTGACTATTCAATGAAAAATGGCATTCGGGACTTGATTCGGATTCTTAAAAGCATGCCTGACGAGGTGGGCCTTCAACTGTCAGTGAAAGGATAAAAGGGAGATTGTAAGGAGAGCGTTCCCTAACCTGGAAGCAGCCACAGACAACACCCTCTCTTTTGTTCCCATCAAATATGAGTGCACTGGCAATGGGACTGAGAGAAGGGCTTCCTCTGATGATGATCTTTAGAACTGAGGAGATACAATCCTTCAAGTAACCTGGACCCAAGTCATATGGGACTTCATCGGTAATGACCAATACTTTGAACTGGGCATGGAAATGGACTGGTTTGAACTGGGTATGGAAATGGACTGGTATCCAGTGAAGTTTTGAAGGCATTCTTTGCTCCCTATAACTGGTCCCAATCAGCAGTCTACTATTTGAATTACATTTTGTAGATGCTGCTGTTGCATTTCATAAATGCTGCTACTTCATCGTGAATCATCTGAAATTTCCAAACCTTCTTCGAAGGAAGCCTCAGGTAGAGTGTATTGCGGTAATTCAAATGGGATGTAACTAAGGTACAGTATGTGTAACTGTAGCCAAATCACACATCTCAAGAAACAGGAGCAGCAGGCCCATGAGTTTCAACTGTGTAAATGCACTCCTGGCTACCACCAAAACCAGGTTCCGGGATGAATCGGAGAGTACACCAAAGCTGTGAACCTGTTTTCAGGGGTAATGTAACCCATCCACTAGCAGGTTGTATCCCTATTGTCTCATCTACCTTCCGATCGACCAGGAGTATTTCTGCTTTGTCTGGGTTATGTTCCAGTCTGTTTGCCTTCATTCAACCTATTACTGATATCAGGCACCGGTTTAAAACCAAGACAGATTCCTTAGAATTAGATGGGAAGGAGAGATAAATTTGGGTGTTAACAGCATAATGGTGACACCAAATTCCAGAACCTTGGACAACTTCTCCCAGAGGTTTCATGCATATGTTAAATAGCAGGGGGGATGAAACAGAATTCCTGTTCAACACCTGGCCAGGGTATTGAACAGGAATCCCTCAGCACCACCTTCTTAGTTTTCTCAGAAGGACCGGAGCCACTGCAAAACAGTGCCTCCAAATCACATCCCAGAGGATCCAAAGGACGGTCAATGGTATCAAAAGCCACTGAGACTTCCAGGAGAAACAACAGGGACACTCTCCCTCTGTACAGTTCCTCGTGTAGGTTGCTGACAACAACAACTTCATTCTTTCTGGCCAAAGGCCTTTACTTTATGCAATATAACAAAAAAAAAATCCAATTTGAAAGCATGTGGTTATAGTAAGTCATTGAGATGCTTATCACTAGTCCAATCATAGCATCCTTCAAAACAAACATACAGACTCACTGATCATACGGAAGACAATTCTACAACATTTTGACCCATAGCATAACAAGAACAGAGCTTTTGGGCTGCCAGTGAAAATCATGCTACAGCATACGTGGTAAATAATTGGTTGTCAGTGAGTATTCCTAATACTGCTTTCTTGAAAGTACAGTTGGCATATGACTGGATGATCTAGTATCCATATACAGGGGACTGAATAATAAATAATGAATTAGAACTTCAATCTGATTACAGCCAAAAAAGACATTTGCATTTTATAACTGGAATTCCTTGATATCACCCTTCAAGATAATGTAAAACGAATCTGTTGGAATCTAAGTTCTGTAAAGGCTCTACAGATCTGTGGGAAAGCCAGTGTCTCAAAACAGTGGAGCTTTGTGTGATTAACATGGTGTTGAGGATGGCAAGTAGAGAATTGGGACCCAATAATATGAGCCTTATCTTGACTAGGATCAGAATAAAAGATCCAATTCCTAAGAGCATGAGAACTAAGACACAAAAACCTTTCCATGGAAAAATTGTAGGTCTTCAACTTATCTTGACACTGCCACTCTCATCCTATAGTGCACAATTGCTCCAGCCAGCAATACTTGGTCCAAGACTGGTCCTCCAAACCATTTAGTCTATGCCACTATCTGACATAGGCCAAATCAATTCTGGCAGCAATTGAGGCAAGACCTAGCTCAGCCCTAACATGAACTTAAGGGGTTTCTGTAAGGAATTTATTCTGCCGAACCTCCAAATTGGATTTGACTCCCTCTCCCCATACAGTGGTGCCTCGCTTAATGAGCGCACCATTTAACAACAAATCCACATAGCAACACATTTCGTGCGATCGCTAATGCAATTGCATTGCAATGTTTTAGGTGGCAAAATATTGCATTGAGATGATCAGTAAGCGTTTTGCTTACCGATCTTCACATTGTGATGTTTAGAAAACAGCTGATTGGCAGTTCCAAAATGGCTGCCCGCAGTGTTTTTGTGCCCTGCCCTCGCTTACTGGGCAGCAAAAATGGCGGCCGGATGGAGGATTCTCCGCATAGCGGTGAGTTTTTCCCCATTCCCCAGAGTTTAATGCGTTCCTATGGGTTCCCCCCCCCCGCATAGTGACGAATCCAGATAGCGACGATTTATCCGGAACGGATATCGTCAATATGTGGGGCACCATTGTATTACTGCCCCATAAAGCATTTGAGCCAAAATTTTAGCAACAAAAACCTTAAAGGCAAGATTTATTAGCTCGCCTCCTCTAACATAGGAAGGTATTTTTAGCTGCCAAATACACCTGGCAACTCCATAAAGTAGTGGCATTTAGGTGTTGCTTGTTGGAAAGTTTCTCACTAAAATGCAAGCCCAGATATTTAATTGAATGAACCATCAAGAGATCAATTTTATGTCAGAGTATAAAATTTACAGGCCTGAGCAGAACAAATGTCCTAATGAACAGCCATGATGTTCAGGTGTGTCAAAATGCTGAGTCACTGTGACTCGGGAGGGCTGGCTCAAAGATGATGCAACATCTGTGCTGATTGGACATAGCCAGATGCATAAGTGTATATATGTGGCCTGCACAGAGATGTATTCCTGCTCTTCTGGTGAATTCATTGTGTCATACTGTTGCTCTGTATACTTGTAAATATACTGTAAATATACATCTAGTGGTGGAAGAAGTTGATCGTGTCTGTGTGAGTCATTTTGCCACAAGGACCTTGAAGTTACTCTGATGAAACTTTTCTGCGTGTTCATGCACTAACATTTTATGTGGTCTCCCCAAAGATCATGATACTGGATTTTGAACAATCTATTATTAATTGTTCATCTCTGCAAAGTTCCCCACATTTGTTTAACATTCTTTTACGGGCAATTTTGTTCACAGATAACAAAACCAAATTATTAGCATAGAACAACATTGAGATCTTGTGACTGCGAATATCCAGAGAGAAAATTATCATCAATGTTTTTGTTGTTGTTGTTAATAATTTGATTTCTATACCATCCATCTGGCAATGACTAAACAGTAACAATAACATAATCACAAAAAATAACAAGATCCATAAATAATAAAATGCAAAACAAATACCATAAAATATAACAAGAAATAATAAAATACAATAAAATGAAATAACATTAATAGCATGGTGGTAGATTAGATGTTACGTTGTCAGAGGTAATATTACATAAGAATGTTATTTGATCTGGAAATAGCTGTGTAAATAACCAAGTTTTTAGTACTGTATTTTTCTGTGTATAAAACACTTTTTTCTAAAATAATTAGAGGAAAAATTGAGGGTCATTTTATACATGGAAGTAAGGGGGAGGGATCAAAGTGCTTTGATCCTGCTTTCCCCCTCACTTTCTTTGCAAAGACCTGCTTTTCTGCTTGCAAAAAGTGGAGGATAAAAGAGGGGGAAGCGGGAAGCTGCTTTTGCCCTCCACTTTTTGCAAGGGAGACAGCAGCTTTTTGCAAAGAAATAAATTTGGGTGATAAAGTGCCTTGTAGGCCAGTTCTCACCTGCACCATATTATTTTGATGTAGCTGCTATATAAGTCATAGGACTCTTCTGTCAATATTTGTTAGGGACAATTTGTGCCATAGACACTCTTGGTTTATCAGATCAAAAGCAGATGAAAAGTCTACGAAGGCTGCAAAAAAGAACTTATTTGGGGTCTTGATAAATTTACTAATTAAATGGTGTAGCACAAAGGCCTGACTTCTTGTGCTTCTGCCCTTTCTGAAAAATGCTTGTTCTGCAAATATTCAGGGAGATTAGATGGGATCTTATTCTTTGTATGTACGTATGTCACCCCCAAAGATGGAGCTAAAATGAGAGGCTCATATTTCTGGTGTAATAGGATTAGAAATCTTAAAAGTTTTCTGAGAAAAACCTCCATCAGCTTCCAGAATTGTGATTAATTCCCCTCAATAAAGGAATAGCACAGAGATTTCCAATTATTAGCAAAAAAGAGGCCTTATTTTACTTTCTAAGGAAGGTTTCACATTCTCTCCAATGGTGTTGCACAAGAGAAGTGATTTCATCAGTACCGGTGCATTTTACCTGTCTTGTCAATTTACTCAGTTCCTTTTTCCTAGATTGCAATCCCTATCAAACCATGAAGCATCAGGAATTTTCTCCGAGTAGGTGGTAGTCAAGTAAGGCCTAAGCACATGTATTATCTCCTGATATATCTGGCAAATATTCTGGGTCCCAAGAGAACATGCTGTCGTAGCTTTGTAGCTTAACTGTTCCCAATATCTGCTTTATTTTTGCATCTATTTTTATGGACCATTTTTCTTCTTGTACAGTGGTGCCCTGCATTACGACGACCCTACATGCCAACAAAATCGCTTGACAATGACTTTTTTGCAATCACTATTGCAAACCGAAAATGATGGTTTCTATGTTTTTTTTCCACTTTACGTTGATTAGGTCCCTGCTTCGCGAAACGTTTGTTTGCAAAACAATGTTTTTTTCCGGCTCCACAAAATGGCTTCCTTTCCTTCACAAAATGGCTATTTAAACTGAAAACAATGGTTTCTATGGTTTTTTTTCACTTTACACTGATTAGGTCCCTGTTTCGCGAAACGTTTGTTCACAAAACGATGTTTTTTCTGGCTCCGCAAAATGGCTTCCTTCCCTTCACAAAATGGCTATTTTCCGGACAGAAGCTTCAGAAGATAGCGATTTTCGCTGGACGATGAGGTATTTCCCCACTGGAATGCATTAACCAATTTTCAATGCATTCCAATGGGTTTTTTCCGCTTGACAATGATTTCGCTTAACAGCGATTTTCCTGGAACGGATTATCATCGTCAAGCGGAGCACCACTGTAAATGGCCTGGCATCCAGAATGTATTTGTTGAAACCTTAAGATCATCCTAAGGGACAGATGGTCACTATCAGGTCTATCATCAATTGCTAGAGACTGCACATAGGGCTGTGATGGCTAACCTTTTTGAACCCAAGTGCCCAAACAGCGACACAAAACCAAATTATTTCTTTCGAAGTACCAACACTGCAATTAAATCTGAATACTGATGTTTTAGTTTAGAAAAAACAACTCATACAGTTGTCTGAATTAAACATCATCTTTTGTCTTCAAAACATAATTGAACTTTCAATGATAAAAACACTTTTTATTGAAAAATAACCATTAACTCTAGTAAATGGAAACAAATATTAAAGTAATACAAGTCAGGTAATTTATATAAACTTAAAAAATAATTATATGCATGTATTTTTTGATAAGGGATACTCATCATGGCAAAATTTATATAAACTTTGAAAATAATTATATGCATGTATTTTTTGATAAGGGATACTCATCATGGCATGCTTTTGCACAATGTGATTTTTGATGTTGTATGCATGCTGATAATTTCTCAAACATTGGCCCATATGCTGTTAGTTTGAGAGCAACACATGCTGGGGAAATGTGCAGGCTGTGGACTATGTGTCCAGGAGGGGAGGGACACCAGACCGTCCTCACCTGTCCTCCAACCCCCGGATGCCTCTCTACCTCTGGAACAGGCTGCTGCCCCCATTCCTCTTTCATCCTCCATCTCAAAGATCTTTCCCACAACCCTTTCCTCAGACAACCCACCGCTCTCACTAGTGTTGGTAGTATTGATGACGACGCAGCACTGCTGCCCAGGCTAACACCCTCTGCAGCAGAACCTTCAGGGGGCAGCTGTGTTGATGAAATACTCAAAGAGACAACCACTTCCTGGCTGCAGACCAGTTGCCTCAGAGACAGCCTCTATACTGAGGGGCCTTTCGCCAGGAGATGACTGGCCAGCTCGATGGGTGTCTGGCATAGGACCAGTTGCCTCAGAGACAGCCAGGGCTCGGCCAGCCCCTCAGATGGGAAGTCCACACTGAGGGGCCTTTCGCCAGGAGTCGACTGGCCAGCTCGATGGGTGTCTGGCATAATCTTCAATGTAGGCACCATCTCCTCCATGGGGAGTAACTCTGGTGTTTCCATGATGCCTTTCCACCTGCAGTAAACCTGTAGGAAAGAGAAAGTAATGCCACTCCACTGCTTAAGTCTCTGTCATAAGGGGCATGTGCCACCTTTACAAGCAGCCCCCTATCACACTCACAGAGTGAGTCCATACCCACCACCACCAGCACTGATGTGGATGGAAAGCATTGTTGGCTTTCTCAGAGGCTGCAGGCTCTGCTGGGCATGGCTGCTGAAGTGCAAGAAGTCTGCCAGGGATTCCTAGAGCTGGTGGCACATACACAACAGGTGGTTCCTCTCCACTGACTTTCTCTCTAGGGGTGGTGGCCCTGGGCTGCATTTGGCTGATGCCCCTCTGCTCTGTCTGCCAGTGCTCGGGGTGACTCAGGAACCACAGCAGATCCCTGCCCAGTAGCACCCTTTACAAGGTCAGGGTGATCTTACAGTGAAGTATGGCTACAAAGAGAAACGACTAGAACACACCAAGAGGAGGTGTTCCTTTTTTCCTCACCCAAAGAGATACTGTACTTACAACCGAGCAAATCAGTGCCTGTGTGATGCACAGCAACCATCGGGAGGGTCTCCCCCAGAATCTCTTCCTCTGGAAGCCATTCCGTCAGAATGGCCTCCAAGGGGCCTATGCCAGAATGGATGGGTTTTCTGGCTTGATTTCTCAGTTCCAAACATGTTTCGTATCATCTTCTGCATGGTGTTGTCCCTGCGCAAGGTTGTTACCCAAGCTCCAGGATCTTTGGGGCAGCCTTCTCAAACTATCTTTTCTTATTTTCATCTGCCTCAGGCCCAGCCCAAGCATTAAGTGCTATTTCATTGTCCTGAGCAACTACGGTGGCTTTGCCTGCTCCTGTGCCTGCCCATTGAGCTTCCTATTTCTGGAGGCCTCGGCCTGCTCAGCTATAGCTTTCTCACAGTGAGCCACAGAGTCCTAAAAGAGGAAATATGGGGGGGGGGAAGGCAAGGCTGATACTGGCTGATGGGTCCACACTAGAGATGGGCACGAAGCACTTTGTCACACTTCAGCCCAATTTCTTTGTGGGGCACCACAGGTGCCGAGCATTCTGTCTGCCCTTACCCCAGCCATGTGCCCTGCTCACAAGCCTTTGTGCGCTGGCTGGGCCATCTAGTCTAGGCAGGAGTCTGGGGTTCCCTGCCCCACCTCCTTTGGCAGCTGATCACTCAGATAAGGAGTCAGGATGTGGATTCTTCCTGTGTAGCCATTGAATGGGCAGCTACTAGAGGAGGTGGGGCAGGGAGTTCGTCAACTGGCTAAGGGGGAGAGGGAACATGCAGCATCGCTGGTGTCACACATACAAATTGAGCCGAAGCGCAATTAAGTGATTCCTGCCCATCTCTAGTCCACACCATTTAGGATGTATAATAGCAGAGTTTCTGGGAAGCATCCTCCTCTGGGCATCACCCCTCCCCCATAGGCCCCTCTCATCCAATAAGCCAAGGACATGCAGAATGGCCAGAATACATTTTTGTTGTTGTTGTTTAGTCGTTTAGTCGTGTCTGACTCTTCGTGACCCAGAATACATACATACTGAGAAATTCATATCATGCTTGTGAAGAGAGACCCAGATGAAAATGGATTGGCAGGAATTGCTTTCCCCAAACTCTAGCAGGTATGTGCAATGCTGGATGGACAAGGATGGAAAGCAGAAACAGCTGTGAGAATCCTGACGGGGCAGTTAAGGTGCAATCCCGATGGATGTGTTTAAGGGGAAATAGGCCTACCTGCAGCTGTCACCATCATCTTCAAAGGCAGTGTGTCAGAGGGCCTTCCACTGTGATGCTCTAGCTTGCCATAGTCCAAGGACAGGTCCTTCGACCCACCTCTTCCTGTAAGAGACCTTGGTGATGTTCTAGCCTGCCATAGAGCATCACCAGAGAGACTTAAAACAAGAGGCAGGTTGTAGGATCCACCAGCGGTGGATGCATGAATGGATGGTCCTGCCCCAGGGAGCTGGACTCTCGATATGTCTGTCTGTGCAAGGGTATTCGTATACGAATATGGATGCCCTAATCTCTAGCCATGAATAATGGTATCCCAGGGTCATCCTAACCCTCTCACCAGGGGATCCTATGGTAGAAGTGGTGGTGGGAGTAGATACTGGGGCAACTTATTCCATTCTCATGTTCCCTCCCCCTGCTCACTCACTCTCTAGAGCAACAAAATCAGTAATTAGTGCAAGAGGGCAACAGGAAAAGGTTTCCCTCATCCCACAAGTTCCAGTACAAATAGGGCAGTGATGGCGAACCTATGGCACACGTGCCACAGCTGGCATGCAAAGCCCTTTCTTCTGGCACACAGCAAACCTTTTGAAGTGGCTGCAGCTGGAATTCCCCCTGTCTCTTCCTGTTCTGGGTCCTTTAACTTCCTGTCCATCCCCATGATTCCCCCTTTAACTTCCTGCCTGTCCCCATGATTCTTCCTTTAACTTCCTATCCATCCCCATGATTCCCCCTTTAACTTCCTGTCTGTCCCCATGATTCCCCCTTTAACTTCCTGTCTGTCCCCATGATTCCCCCTTTAACTTCCTATCCATCCCCATGATTCCCTCTTTAACTTCCTATCCGTCCCCATGATTCCCCCTGAAACTGCCACTCCCTGTTCTGGTTCTGGTCTTCCGGGTGGCACAACAGCCACTGGTTTCTTCCCCACCCCTTCATTTTGGGCACTCGAGCTGAAAAAAGTTTGCCTTCACTGAAATAGGGGACTATCAGCTAACACATTAGCAAACACCCAGCCAATCTGTAGCCAGATACCTAAACCACTGGGCTATCCAGCTCAGGTAGAAGATGGCTTACAGTTAAACAGAATTACCTGCTGAGCTCAAAGTTGTCTGAAGATGGCAAATGAAGTGGCCTAAGAAGCATAGTTACTCAGGCCCCTCTGTGTCACTAAAGGGGCATGGTACATGGTTGGGGATTTAATGCTAGAAGGCTCCTCAAATTTGCACTTCTCTCTGTAACATGATGTGAAATTAAATCCAACACTTTAAAAAGTACAAGATTATGATGTCATTTTCCCCCAAAGGGTGGACGGAATCTCTTAATGAGGGAAAAGATTTAGAAAGTGGCTTGAGGCTAAGCACAAGAATGTCATTTTCCCCCCAAGGGTGGACGGAATCTCTTAATGAGGGAAAAGATTAAATAACTTTCAGCACTCCTGGCTCAGCAAACAAAGTGGCATAAAATCTTTACTTACTTTACTACGTCTTTAAGGAACATGACACCGTGTTGCATCCTTAGTGACACTGTTCTCCAAAGATTTGCATTTCTCTCTCTGCGGAATTATGTGGCTATTTTAAAAGCCTCAAGCACTGGAGTTTTCTCTGCTGGATGTCAGAGAGAAGTAAAGAGAAATCACAAGCATAGATTTCTTCTCCGGCATTTAGACCAAAAGAGAAAATAATGGCTGCTAAGATAATTTCTCCACGTTTGACCATTACCTGGATCATTACATCAATATTATGCATTATTGCACTTCTAGGAAATGGATTTATCACCATTGTGAATGGGTACCAATGGCTCCAAAAAAAGATGATTCCTTCTGATTTCCTTTTGACCTGTTTGAGCAGCTCCCGAGTTCTGTCATTATTGACTCTGGTGCTGAGCTATCTTCTAGAAATTATCACTCCAGAGACATACCAACTTTCTTATACAGAGGAAGTTATTAATTTTAGTTTATTATTTTTTGACATTATCAGCATCTGGTGTGCCACGTGGCTGAGTGTTCTCTACTGTGTGAAGGTCACCAACTTTGTCAATCCCTTCTTTCTCTGGCTGAAGCCAAGGATCAACGTGCTTGCACCTAGATTGCTTGGGATTTCAATAATTGTTTCCATGGTTGTCTCTGTTCCTTCATTTAGCAAATATTTTGGATACAAAAGGTGGTGCAACCTGACAGGAGATCTGCCAATGAACACCAGCGAAAAGCATGTTTGCACTGAATTAATCGCTGTTTTTCAACCTGTGCGGTTCGGCTTGGTTTCCGTAAATTTCAGCCTAAGCGCCGTCTCAACCATTCTTCTACTTACCTCCCTGTGGAGGCACATAACAAATCTGAGAAAGACTGGTGCTGGTATGAAGGATGTCAGCACTCAAGTCCACATCAACGTCATGAAGCCTCTGGTGTTCTATCTCTTCTGCTACCTTTCCTATTTCATGGGCATGACATTTTTTTCAGTTGCGAGTCTTAGATATGATACTTTTGAAGAGCTGATTTCTGACATCTTGGTGTGTGTGTTTCCTTTGGGACACACCATAATGTTAATACTGACTAACCCAAGACTGAAAAAGGCATCTACGCACATGCTGAATATCAAACAAAGAGCTTCATAAATAGGAGACAAAAAGTGAAGACTCGCAGTTGTGTACGACTGCCAAGGACAGCTGTGGTTAAGCAAATTGATGAAAGTCTCTGGAACTGAAGGTGAATAATCTATCAAGCCGAGGGAAGATGATCAAAGTTGTATTAAATTAGTGCTAAGTGAAAAGATTAATCTGCAAACTAAACATATTTATGTAAGGTATCTCTTAATGCATGATGTGATATAAGATATGGCTTGATGGAACTAGTACTGTATAATGTTTATTGTCCAAGTACTGAAATGAAAGCAGATATTTCAATAAACCCACTTCCACAGATTGTTTTCAAAACCTATGGAAGATGATGAGCATTAGTGATACATGCTGTGCTGAGGTGTGCTAGAATATGCAATTGTGCAGTCCAGCATGTTTATATGTGTATATAAGAATGAGAAGTGTTATTTACATAATAGAGCATTGTAAACTACATTGGATTCCCTCTATTGCTAGCCGATGGGTGTTTGAGGGGGTTAACTGCCAGTTAGAAGAAGAAGTGACAGTTATGATAAGGTTTCCTCTGCTTGTTCTGTTTATCTGTTAGCATGAAGTCTTTCTGTTGAGAAATAATGCTTTTCAGTTGTGCTGTCTCCTATTAGCATGTTATGAAGGAAGCTGTTTCAATGTATGAAACTATTATAGTTCCAGCAGAAATCTATACCAAATGCATAGTGTTGTGTTCATATGTGCTTGCACAAAATAAAAAGAAGAATGTGTGGACAAGAGTCCATGAACTTGTATTTTGGAGTGCAAGAGTGATTATATGGGAAAACTCACCAACACAACATCTGACGGTTTGTGCAGAGTACAACAGGGTCACTCACACTCAGCTCCACAGAATGTGGAGGGATTTGTACTGGCTATACTAAAGATGGCGAGCTGGATAAACGCATTAGCAAAGCAGCTACCATGTTCTCTAGACTCACAAAGAGAGTATGGCTCAATAAGAAGCTGACGACACATACGAAGATCCAGGTCTATAAAGCCTGTGTCCTGAGCACACTCCTGTACTGCAGTGAGCCCTTTGTGCACGTCAGGAGAGGAAGCTGAACGCCTTCCATATGAGTTTCCTCCGACGGATTTTTGGCATCACCTGGCAGGACAAAGTTCCAAACAGAGTAGTCCTAGAACGAGCTGGAATCTTCAGCATGTATACATTACTGAAACAGCGACGTCTACGTTGGCTTGGACATGTCGTGAGAATGGCTGATGGTCGGATTCCAAAGGATCTCCTGTATGGAGAATTAGTGCAGGGAAATCGCCCCAGAGGTAGACCACAGCTGCGATACAAGGATATCTGCAAGCGGGATCTGAAGGCCTTAGGAATAGACCTCAACAGATGGGAAACCCTGACATCTGCCCGTTCAGCCTGGAGGCAGGCAGTGCTTCACGGCCTCTCCCAATTTGAAGAGACCCTTGTCCAGCAGGCCGAGGCAAAGAGGAAGTCACAAAAGCAGCAAAACCAGGGAGCTGGACAGGGGACAGATTGGATTTGTCTTCAGTGTGGAAGAGATTGCCACTCTCGAATTGGCCTCTTCAGCCATACTAGACGCTGTTCCAAGTCCTCCATACAGAGCACGACACCATAGTCTTTCGAGACTGAAGGATGCCTAACTAACTAAAGACGTCAGTGACTAAAGAAACCTCAAGAAAGTCACCAGCCATGTATCTTCTCAAGAATGGGGAATGGAAGTAGTACATGGGGGGGGGGAGTGAATTTGTCTTGCCTGTCACACAGGAAGGGTGAAAAGTGGCCTCCTGAACCTTGACAATGCAACATCCCAGGACATATAAAGGGCCAGCAAGATAGTGACAGATCAGTCTACAGATCAAAGGCAGGAGGGAAGCTTTAGTTATCCCCACATTTCTTATAGGGGGGGGGTTGTTTTCTTGAGTGGCTTTCTGTTCTGCCTCACTTTATCAGACTCATTCTTTGGCCTTTTAGGTGTTCTCTTCTGCACACACCACAGGTGAATATGACTAGCCTGACCATCCACCACGCAAGGCTTCATGCTTTGGTCTGCCCTTGGCCTTCCAGGCTCTATGCTCGCACTTGAACCCTTGTTGGGCCTGACCCCACCCCGGTGCCATGAAGAAGGCAAATCTCGAGGCAAATTCAGTAATTTGTTTGTACTGTACTTGCCAGATGAATCCAAAATTCAAATGGATGTATGTAATGGAATCTCTTCAGTTTTTGCAATTTCCATTATTTCAACTGTTCAAAAGCCTTTAAGAGTTTACATCCTTTTCCATTCAATCATCTGTGGGACCTGTTCAAGCATTTCCTATGGTAATTCAGCAGCCTAGCAGAACAGGAGATTGGGTTCTGTTGCTCTTTGCAAAGGCAGAAGAACAACAGCATAAGGACAGTGTTACGGGAACACTGACATTCCATTTCAAGTCTGGTTCTGTGGCACGGTACGTGGTGTTTGTTGTACGGAATATATGATATGGGAAGAGCAGATCTCCCAGCAAACTAGAAGCATTTACTGTTCTCTACATAGCAGCAATATGTGTCTGTGAATGTACTTCTCAGATTTAAATGCCAGCTATTTGCTGCACTCAACACCATTGGGAAGCATAGTTCTGTGAAGTCCAAAGTGGGTTTCAGAAGCAGAGTATTTCCCAATCAGCTGCTCGTATTACATCACGGCAGAAATGCTCTAGTACTGCACTATCAAACTCAATAGGAGTTCTAGGGGGCCTCAGGGGCTGCAAGAATAGGAAATTTGTCAGTGGTAGGTAACCACCATACTTCACAATATGAAACTATGCTGGGGATATACAACTAGGCATGACAGAAACCAGAGTCAACCTGTTTGCTGTTTAAAGAGGAAGTGTGTGTGTGTGTGTGTGTGTGTGTGTGTGTGTGTGTGTGTGTACACACAAAAGTTATTGGAAGCTACAGAATGCAACTCAGTTTGCTCTCAAGAAGGAACATGTCTTTGCATGGAGGAAAAGTACAGTGGAAGGACCTCCTCAGGTTTCCTACACTGTCCTTTAGCTGTGCTGACTTGTGCTGGCTTCCTTTCAAATTTAAATTGCTCTTCTTCAGGTTGTTGATGCCATTTCTCTCACTCCTCCCCCCCCCAGGAGGAAACACCTCTGTTCTCTAGATGTGAAAGGGGCAGCCATGGCTTCTGATGTCTCCAGTTTAGTTAGCTGGAACTGGGACTTCTATCCTTGCCTGTCCGAAGTGAATTTCTTTAATAAAGACAAGCCTTGTTTTCTTATAAAGTGTTGATAAGATTCATTTAGGTGTGATGAAGTGTGTTCATGGAATCATTCCTGGTTTCAAATGGTGGATTCTACCAGGGAACGTTGCTCCTGTACTGCTGTGTAATTTCTCTCCAACCAAAAAGAAGGGATAGTTAAGAAATTCCTATAACATTTACACATTTTATTGAAATAGGTGGGTTGATGAAGGAGTCTTACAAAATATCTTCTGTGTTAAAGTACTTCCAGATGAGGCTTGTATTGAACAGTGAACCTGCTTTATTCATAGAATTTCTTTTTTCTGTGTTTTCACTCTGTTTCTTCATCTGTTTCCATAGCACCAAAAATCCATTAAGGAAGGAAGTACGAAGTAGCTTCACGGAGTGCCTTTGACCAGTAATACTGAGAGATATTCATCTGGAAGCCACCTTACAATGACACACCTTTTAAGGCAATGTTTTGACCATTGGCTGTCTAGATTTTAGCCCCCCAAACTAACAATTAGGAATCAATGTAGCATTTCACACTTGGTAATGACATAAGAACCCTTGATTGATATTTGTTCCTCATATATAACCATCCATATATCCCTTATCTCATCTGTTTGTTTGTTTGTTTCTTTGTTTGTTGTATTTGTATTTGTACCCTGCACCATCTGGCAACCAGGCCACTCTGGGCAGCTAACAGCAGTATAAACAATAATATTAAAACACGATAAAAATAAATTAATTAATAGAAACCAATAGGGTAAATTAAAACAGATGACAATAAAGAGGGTAAAAATGGTAATGGAGAGGATGAAAAAAGGATGGTAAAAAGGGAGGCTGAGATCTTAATGCTCCAGGAAAGGCTGACGGAAGAGTCAAGTCTTTAATGCTCGCTTAAACCCATCCAGCGAGGGTGCCAGGTGGATCTCAATGGGCAGGTTGCTCCATAAGTGGAGGGAGACCACTGAGAAAGTTTGGTTTCTTGTTCTTTCCCTCCGGGCCTCCTTCAGGGTCAAGACCCTCAACCGCCCTGTCTGTGAAGAATAGGTGTTACGGACAGATCTGGCTGGGAGCAGGCATTCTGATAGGTACCAAGGTCCTAAACCATTTAGGGCTTTGAATCTTATCATCATAACTAGAGATGGGGACGAATATAAAAATGGATCAGTTTTTCTGACGAATATAGCTGATTCGTCATATATTCGTCAGTCCATATTTGTAAAATTTTACATCAGGACGAATATGGCTTGATGAATATTTCCTCGGTTTTATTCATCAATCCATTCATATTCGTCTGTATTCATTACCCCTTTTGGGGGTCTCTCTGAGCTTGCTAGAGCCAGTTTGAAGCTCTGGCGAATCAGGACAAAGAACCTGGATTGGCATGTCCGGCATCCAGTAGCGCTGCTGAAAGGTGTATCTACTGTACTTTTACAGACGCTTCATATAAGCTTTTCCCGTTTGGTCATTCTCCACTTCTGTTCATGCTCTTCGGAGTGAGAATAGTTGCTGCTCACTGGCTTGCTGGTGCTCTTACAGTTTTGCTTTTGCGGCAGCAAAGCAAAGACTTATATTTTTCTTTTTCATCATCATTCATCATTCATCATCAACTTTACTGGGAATTAGGGGAAGGATTTCAGGTAGCTTAGGCTACTTCTTTAGAAGGGTTTAATTTCATTTCAGATTCAAATCAATCAAACCTTTTTTTCCTGGAGGGTTGTGTGTTTGTGTGTGTGTGTGTCCCCTGGAGAGAGTTGTGTGGAGCAACTAGTAGGAAGGCCTCTGGGCTGCGCCTGTTCTTCTCGGTCACCTTCTCCAACCCATAATATGGCCATATACACAACAAGACGGGGCGGGGGGGGGGGCCTTGTGTCCCTCAGGGAATTCGGTGGTTGGCTGGATCCATCATTCCTTTTTCTTCTAAAACGTATTTGGGGGTGTAGTTGTGTGTGTGTCTCTGACTGAGACTTAGATCGCAGGGCTTTTCTTTTTGGACTATTTTGGCTTCTCTGCCACAGTGGGTTGGGGGGGGAGAAATTTTCTTAATTACATTATACTGAGGGTGGGCTTTGTTTAGGCAGGCAGGTCACATTTTAGTAAAAGAATCACACCACCATCATTCTAAAAATAAAATTTATACACACTCTCTGATCCTCTATTAGTTTCCTTCCTCAATCTCCATTGATAAACTTGTTTAGTTGGTTTGTTAGGCAGGCAGTAGAAAATAAAGGGATTTCTTCATGGGCAATCCAAGGGGAAGAAGGCTGTGAAGGTACACAGACTAGGTAGCAACACTGTCATCACTGTTGTCCTGGTGGGCTGTTTGTTCCACCTTCTGCCTCCCTGACTGGGAGGAGAGAACTCCTGCCTGGCACGGGTTAAACCAGATCAGCCCTGCAATCTGAAGCCAGGTGATATAGGTGATGGGGTGACACGCAGACAGCCTTTGGGTGGGGCAGACTGAGGCCGGCCCTCTTGGCATCAAGCCTAAACCCTCTCTTGGCAGACCCAGCGCCTGTCCCCGCACCCCCGAGGGCCAGCCTGTCTCAGTCCCCCAAAACATTGAAGGGCTATCTTTATCATATCCGGGCAGTCTCAGCAGCCAAGTTGCAATCCCCACCCAGCTTTCTAGTTCTAAATGAGCATCTTTGTTTCTTTGAAGGTTGCCAGCAAGTCTAGTTAGACATTGGTGGACAGGTGAGTCTCCTAGGCCAGGTTCTGCCCCACCCAAAACCTGTCTGGGCGCCATCGCATTGCCCCACCACCCAGCTTCAGACTGCAGAGCTTGCCTGGTTTTCAACCTGTCTAAGCCCCCCCCCCAACCTCCAAGGGCTATCTTTATCATATCCAGGTGGTCTCAGCAGCCAAGTTGCAAGCAATCCCCAGCTTTCCAGTTCTAAACGAGCATCTTTGTTGCCTCATCGCCCGGCTTCAGATTGCAGAGCTGATCTGTTTCCGACAGCCCTGCAGCCCCATGGATTAACCGCTGTTAGTACTACCGACCTTGTTCATCTGATGGTGCTGCTGGTGCTGTTGGAAGTTGCAAGCAACCTTAGTTGTCTCCTGGGGGCAAAAACCTTTCCCTTGCAGGCAAATCTGATGTTGCTGAAGAAGACCAAAGTCTGCTCTGCTGCCTTTAGCCTCATTGTCCCGATGGGGTAAGACACGGTACGTTACTGCTGCCAACTACCTCAGTGCCCGATGGGGCCAAAAGAGCCTGTTTTCCTGCTGCCAACTTCCTTAGTGCCCGACGGAGCCAAAAGACTGCTGTGCTGCCAAATACCTCCTTCACTCCAGTCCTCCTGAGAGCAAACTCTATTTCACTGGCAAATGTAATGTTGTGCTGAGCTGAAGACAAACTTGATGCCTCATGCATGCCTCTGCCAAAGGGACCTCTCATTCTGCTGGGGCTAAATATAACTCCCTCATTGCTATGGGCTTCTGTGCCGTGTGGTAAACTCTTCTGGGGGGACTCAATTTGTGGGTGAATAACTCAGAGGTCTGATATCCAGTCTTCACCAAAGTTGGCAGGCGTGTTGGGGAAAGACATAAGAAACTCTGTTGTGTTTCTGGAGACTCTAAGTACCTGGGGGGGCTTTCCTGGGGGGTCCTCTTTGTGACTATATAACTTGGGGGTCCGTGATCCAACGTTCACCAAACTTTCAGTAAAAATACATATATGGCTTGTTAAAATAACAAAAAAAAAACATGCAAATTTTAAACCACATTTTTTTCTATTAGTTATAATACCAGAAAATGTTGATAAGCAAAATGTATATTTAATTCTGCATATTTTAACAGCTGCAAGGATAATATTTGAACAGTATTGGAAGAATGAAGAAGCACCTCCAGATGAAGAAATAATCAAGAAGGTACTGGACTGCACAGAAATGGACAGACTGACATTAAAAATCAAAGGGAAGGAAGATTCAGAATACTATCAAACTTGGAATCAGTTTTATCAATGGCTAGAAGCACGCTATATAGAATAAGGACTTGATATGTATTGTAGCTGTATTAACAAATGATTATAGGCAGAACCCAGGAGACACAATGTTAAATAAGCACAGATAGATTTTATAAATAATAATCATAATAAAACACTGAATAAAAACAAACAAACCCAATAAAATGGGTATTGTTGCCACAAGCCACTTTATTGAGCACTCTGAAAAAGACCTAACATTTTGGACATTAAATATTGTTCTCACACAAGATGAAAAGACTTTGCTTAGAAGGCAGAGAGACTGGATATTATGGCTCTTGAAAACCTTAACAAAGAGTTCGATTTCATCCCTATCCTATAATCTCACTGCTGCTGCCCCACACCCCTGGGATCAGCTATTCAGCAGTTTCATGCACATCAGCCTGGCCTTGTAACACAGCTGTGCAATTATCTAGACCTGGATTCAGCTATTTAGCAGTTTCATCCATATCAGCCTGGCCTTGTAACACAACTGTACAATTATCTGTATATAAAGATGTTCCTCTCTCTCAACTTGACATTACTCTTTCAAAACAAGCTGGACCCAGACCTCTTAAACAGAAAGCTATCTTAAAACATAAGTACCACAAGTGCGAGATTTAATATTGTGCCCTCATCGCAGAAACAGGCTCTGAATTTTCATGTTTTATTGAAAGTTGTCTTGTTGCAGGATATGTTTTTAATATTGTATCTTCTCAGAAAGAGAGTCAGATTTTAAGCATAACTTGTGTGGCCCTGGAGCATATAAGTTGATGTCTCTTATAGTCAATATAGAATTGGTGGGGAAATCAGACCATACCAAAGAGGCTGCAAGAGTTGAATGCTGCAGGAGACTGCCGGGAAATATTGGGGGTCAGGTGGTCTGCTAGTGGGACTCAGCTGCTCTAGGCATTATAACATGGTGGACTTGATGGCCCTACAAAGGCACAGTTATCATGGTATCTGAAGCAATATTCCACATATGTTATTCTCCCTAAACATCTAAGGTTGTGTATCTGCGGAGCAGGTGAGATACAGGATGTTCTCCATTATTTACTCTGCTGTCAGCTATATCAGAACCCCTGAGAAAAGCTCCTGGGTAACATTTTGGCTGCACTACAGGAGGAAAACCTTCAAATGAAGGTAGTCAGGTTACTCTTGGACTGTGACCCTTATGTTACATATAGAACAGCACTGTTCGCAAAAGCGGCCAGAAATATTAGAGCTAATTTTCTGAAAGCCATTGTGATCTATTGTGTGGGCGATTCCCAGATATGAAGGATCTCTTATTATTTTATATGTCTTTGATTTTATCATGATTTTATTTGACCATATCTGTATTTTAAACAATTGTGGCGGCTTTTAGCTAATACAATAAACTTGAACTGCACTGCACATATGCTATTCTAGTCAGTGTTGTTGCCATTTGAAACTCTTTTCTTTGATTAACCGTCATACACAGAAACTTAGTCAGGCCCCTCTAAGTTTTCCCTCAGTGAGGGAAAAGTGAGAAGCCCCAAAACACAAGTGAATGAGGCTTTATTCCATTGATGAAAAGTACAATCATTCAAACAGAGAAAGTAGGAACTATATTTTCATACCATTTCATCAACTAAGTACATGGGTACATTAGTGAAATGCATGGGATTCTGGATTGGTGTTTTTCAAACTGGTGTAAAGTCATATTGTAGTCACATGGGTTTTGTGTTATATGTGACTACCGTATGACTTTACACTAGTTTGAAAAACAGCAATCTAGAATACAACTCATTTCACTATGTCCTTAGTGTGCATCCCCTTGGGACAAATGTTGATTCTGGTGTTAAGATTAGTTTTAGATCAATCCAGATACCGCTCAGGAATGCCCTCTTTCCCACCATCATGCTGGCTGCCTCTTACAGCCACTTGTTGCTGCTGCTGCGGTGTTATTTTTAATGTTTGCGTTTAGTCCTTTCAAAGAATAGTGCAAGCTCAGTACTACAGACAGAAAAATAAATGACATATACACATGGATGTGCACTCCCACAGGTCACACAATGATCAGTACTATTGGAGTCCCATGGAGGCTCCTTCCTGACTTGCCTCTTGAAGCCTGAAATTTCCTTCTCAGCCATTTCATTTCCCTCTCCACTTCTTGCAAGCCCTCCATAGACAGGTATTCCTGTTGAATTGAGGCAGGATGTGGGGAAAAGAGCCAGAAGAGAAGAGAAGAGAAATATTTTATCTCTTCTCCTTCCCCACCTCTTCATTTGAAAACCAGAGGCACCTCTTTCAGTAAACTTTTTAAGTGACATCAGCTTCCTCTCCTTGCCTAAAAACTTCTGTTATAGCACATCCACTCTGGGGGTCATGCAACAGTGGGGAAATTCATATTTTAAAAAACATTTCAAATATACTGCTGCATTGCATAGACACTAATGTGATATGCCACTTAATTTGTTTTTTAAAAAACTATCTTGAAGATATTCATGCCCTCCCATGCAGCCTGAAACCTATGATTCTGACATAGGCAAATCCCACAGACACAATTTACTCAGAAGCGTTCACATATGCTGAAGCCATTCAGAATGAATGAATTTCGCAAGCAAGTTGAAATAAATGGCCCCTTGGCAGCTGATTAAGAAAACCTCAATTTATGACCAAAACTATCCTTCATATCAAAATAAATCTGCACTTCCCTGTGCATCATGTAGTCAGCATTTGTATAATTTTGAAACATGCTAAACCTGATTCAAAAACAGTCTTTTTTTTCCACATGTAATCAAGCTCTACTATACAATTTTCAAACTACAGTACCCGAATGGTCCATTTGGATCAAACTTATATGGACATCGGACATTACATCTGTAACATGGATCAAACAATTGGCCATGTTGCCTCTGTTCCAAAACTCTGAAAACCTTGAATTCTTCCAGCAAGCTGTGTTCTTTGTGTAGTTTTGAACAAAATAAAACAAAAGAAAAAGTTCATCTCCTTGCTCTCCTCTTCAGTAGATCCTAACATCAACATGGACCATATGGGGTACCTTTTGGGGCTGCATTTTATGACAAAAGAGTTCCTATTGTGCAGTGGACCTTCACTGTCTCTGAACAATAACCTTCAGGCGGGTTTATGGCTTAGAAAGTTTTTGAAGAAAAGTCATAAAGTCTCTGCCATTTGCCCAGATTAGTTCTCCATTCTCACTTCTCCAGATCTATTGTGGGAACGCCTTTGCCTTTCTAATTGCTCTGTCGAACGGGCAAGAAACCGCAGATCCATTTTCAACGGCTGAGACTCACGGTTTTGCTGGATCCATGTGACTTGAATAACTAAGGGTTTTAATTCTGCCCTCTCAGTCTTGAGTGACGCTTGGCTCCTCTTTTAGTTCTTTCATAACTCTTGCCACATCTCTTAGCAAAGAAATATTGGTGTCCTGATCAGCTTTTGCAAGTGAAGAGCAGGAGAGATAGGAGCTAAGTTGTTGCCGTTTGGGTAACTGTGTCTGTAAGTACCTACACTGGCCTGCCAGGATGGTTGTCCGCTCTCAGATCTGCTTGATAAGATGGAGGGGGAGATGTTACTGTACCTTTCCTTTCCTGGAGACAGTCTCTGCTCAAAGTAGAGCTGTAGATGTTAGTAAGTCCCCTCATCTATATCCAGAGTTGTTTTTCCTGAGCATCCTGCAGGACTTTCTTGTCCACATGCCTTTGTGATGATTAGAGTTCCATCCCTTTCAGATATTTATAATTCAGGTCCATAGATATAGCTGTATGCACAGGAGAAAGAGAGAGAGAGAGAGAGAGAGAGAGAGAGAGAGAGAATTTCCCCTTGGATACAAGGCCTCTACATCTGCTAGTCTCTTCTCTCTAGGATGTCCTTTGTCTTCCTTAGAATGCGGGCAGAGACTTCTTTCAATTTTGGATTGGTCACTATTAATATAATGGAGTGTGCTGAAGGGAAAGCACTCAACAACAACCGAGGAAACAGTGATTCATTTCTTCCAAATGTAAAAATATTCATTGTGAAAAAGACCATACCAGGGAAATATAAAAGGTACAGGAAGAGAGAGAACAGCAAAGGCTTCATGACATTGATATGGACCTGAGTACTGAGGTCCTTAACACCAGCACTACTGTTTTTTAGGTTTCTCATGTGCTTCCACAGAGATAAAAGCAAAAGAATGGATGCAGTTACATTTATGCTGAAGTTTATGGAACCGAAAACTAATTGTGGCGGACCAAATAAGCCAGAGATTGTTTTGCAAATTGCACTTTGGCTGGCATTTGCTGGCAGAGTTCCTGTTCGATTGCACCACTTCTTGTTTATAGAGTAATCAACAAATGGAGGCAGGATGAAGATGGTGAAAACAGTAATTGATATTCCAAGCAGTCTGGGAACGAGAGTATTCACCCTCAGCTTCAGCCAGATGAAAAGAGGATTGGTAAAGTTGGTGACTTTTAGGCAATAGAAAACACTGAGCCATGTAGCACACCAGAGGCTGGCCATATTGAGAAAGATCCAGGAAAAGTGGGTAAGTGCCCCTGTATAAGAACCGAGAGAGATCTCTGAAGAGATGTAATACAAAACACAACCTACTAAAGAAATCACCTGTAACAGAAATCGGGAGATGCCCAGACTAGTCAGAAGGAGATCACAAGGCAACATCTTCCTCTTTCGGAGCCATCGGTGCCCATTCACAGCTGTAATAAATCCATTTCCTAAAAGGCCCACAATGGATACGGTTACTAGAATGGCCCAAAGAAAGATCTCCAGCAGAGGCATTATTTTGGTAATTGTTATCGTCACTTGCTGGGAGAAAAGGCTGAGAGGAAGGATCTGCTCGCAAGCTTCCTGGCTTCTGTCTGGTTTCTAACGGAGAAAACTCCACGGCTTGAGGCTTTTCATGATACAAAGAGGAATGCAAATCCAGACAGGATTCTGTTACTGAGACCTTCCACCAGGTTGCCACTTCTTTTAATGGATGCTCTCATCCTAAGTAACTGCCTGTTCTCATATTTTATTCAATTTTCATGGAGAAAAATTAAGCACGCCTCATATGCTAATTTAACTTATCTAACTATAGCCATCTGTTTTCATTCAAGTTCAATCCAATGGAAATCCAATGTCTGAAGAGACTGTATTAGAGAACATTTTTCACATTTTGTTTTGCATTGTTGATTCCAGATACTTTTCACTATAGAAACATGGCTGGATTTCAATGCACCTTGCTCACATCACCTTGGTATGTTGATTTGTTTAGTATACAGGCCTTTCAGATCTTTTTGGTACTGTGCAATCTCTAATTCTGCAGGCCTGAACAACAATGATCTAACTTCCTTTTGCAATAATCTATCATTATGACTAGGGGAAAAAAAACTAACAATGTTATACAGTGGACCCTTGACTTATGGAATTAATCCATATTGGAACAATGGCTGCAGGTCAAAAAGTCTGTAGGTCAAGGCTCCATTGACCTACAATGCATTGAAAACCGATTAATCCCATAACCGGCCATTTTTGTTCCATTTTGGTCTTTTTTCCGGTCTGTAGGTCGATTCTCCATCTGCAAGTCGAACCTAAATTTTGCGGCCAGAGAAGTCTGTAACTCGAAAAGTCTGTAAGTGGAGCCGTCTGTAAGTCAATGGTCCACTGTACCTAGGTTGTCTGAGCAGAAGTAAATACATACATCATATTGCTTTCAAGAGCCATTTATAAAGCCGCACAGAAACACCTGAAAATGTATTTACATCACACTTTTGAGATCAACCGGGGACGTGGTGGCACTGCGGGTTAAACCGCTGAAGCCTCTGTGCTGCAAGGTCAGAAGACCTGCAGTCGTAAGATCGAATCCACACAATGGAGTGAGCCCTGTCGCTTGTCCCAGTTCCCGGCAACCTAGTAGTTCGAAAGCATGCAAAAATGCGAGTAGATAAATAGGTACCCCCTTGTTGGGAAGGTAAACAGTGTTCTGTGTATAGTCACGCTGGCCACATGACCACGGAGGCTTGTCTGCGGACAAACGCTGGCTCTATGGGTTGGAAACAGAGATGAGCACCACCGCCTAGAGTTGGACAGGACTGGACAAATTGTCAAGGGGAACCTTTACCTTTTATCTTTTACCTCTGAGATCAAGACATGGAGGTCTTGCCCTCATGCAATTTTAGAGACAAACAATCTGGCACACTTGTCCATTACTAAAATGTACAGTTCAGTGCCCTTTTGGTATCCCCGATAGAGTTGCTAAACCACCAAACATTGGTGGTGGATGCACAAAGGTTTGAATTGCCCGAATTCATGTGTAAGAAAATACCTATTTTGTAGGAGAACAGCACTGTCTAAAGATCATTTGCCTCCTGATGCTTGGATTTTAATTAGTCTTCTAATAGTGATGCTCTCCTACCCAATAAGTATCTTGTTCTGTATATGCATTTGGAGCACTTTGGCCATATAGGAGATAGGGTCAGAGTCAGAAGCTTAACCCAAGGGTATGGTGACTGGGTAGCTCTATAAGTTGATAGCCTGACTGTGGAGCCAGAGATCAAGAGTCTGTGTTCCAAAGTTTATAATTTTAGTTAAATTCCTCAAGCTATCCAGCAGAAGTGCATGGATTCACAGAGAACCATACCTTCAAGTTCTCCAGAATCCACCTCTTTCCCCTTTAACTGGCACTTACAGTCTCAATAACTCACTCTGAGACATTAACGGTAGAAAGAATAAAAGCCATTTTGTTTACTTACAGTTGATCAGGTTGAACAGCAAACTGACAAACATGACTGGCATCTCTTGCAGTTATTTCAACCTTAGCCTTTAGTAGGATTGCCTGGGAGGAGTGACTGCCGATCAATTCAACAGTAACCAATTGCTCCTTCATTGCCACTGGTTTCGAAGACAGCCACTGCTTAAGTGTCTTTGTCTCTTTCTTTTAGTCTGCTGTAACAGCCTCACTGACTCCTTCAGACTGACTGACTCCAACAGACAAAAGGGAGCAGAGAGGCAGGGAAGGAACTGGATAGTCATGGATAGACTGGCAGCTACCCCATCCCCAAAACGTCTCTCCCAGCCAGACCTACTAGAGGCAGCATACAAGGTTATTAATTCCAACAGTTTGATTCCCCACTGTGATGCCAGGACAAGAGATACCTTGACTTGTGCTTGGAACCACTTGGAAGCCTCTAGACAAAATCCTAATATTTATGGTTTTGTTCATAATTCTTATGAATTTAAAATGACTCTTCATACAAATGATATTTCATTGTTTAATTCTGAGCCTAAAGCTTTCATTCCAGAACAAATGAAATCAATGGATATGTTCAGAGGTGTATCCAGTTATTTAATTAACTCGACAAAATCTTATCTGTTATCAATGAGAGATAATCCATCACAGAGGGTTTTTTTCCTCTGATTGGCAATTCTGATGGTGGCCAGACACTCTTTGATATTCTGATTCCCAAGAATATTTCACAGCAGTGGTCACCACAGGTACCTCTCCCTCACTGTGCACTGGTGGCAGCCAGAGGACCTGAAGACTGGCAAGGCATTGGCAACATGGCCCCAGGGGGAAGCATTACTCCTGCCACAAAAGTTACAGGACCATTCTGCTGCAGGCATGGAATTTGGAGGGTAAGGCGACAGGGAGGAACATTGCCAGTGAGTTCCTGGCTGCAATGGATGAGTGGCCACCACAGGGTGAAGTGTTCCATGGCCACATAGTCACTGGTGCCAGTCAGAATATGTTCGTGGTGTTGAATGCAGCAGGCTTCAAGGGTATTGTGTACATGACACACAGGTTGCATCTGTTCTGGCGGGACACCAAGGGTCTGGGGAGTACAGTCAACTTGAGTGGAATGTTAGAACATGGGTGATGTGGGCACTCTTAGAGAACTGCTGCCACCTATTGAGCCATTTTTCATATCTATCTATCTATCTATCTATCTATCTATCTATCTATCTATCTATCTGGGCAAGTATGTTTGGCTGTTGCAGTAAAAACAACAGATTGTAATTGTGCCATGCAACAAGTCCAAACCAATGGAAATGCAACTTCTGGAGCAATACTGTTACATCTCCCCTTATTTGGAAGTTGAGTTATGACAACTGGACTTCTTCCTGATTAGGCTGAAACGTTTGGCTACTCATCCAAGTAGCTTCTTCAGTCTGAAGAGAGTTGGTAGTCAATCCCTGATATATCCTCCACGTTGGTTTCCCGTCTCCGTGGTCTGAAGAGGCTCGTTAGATGGACAAAGGATGGGGAGGTGAGTGAAAAACCCACTTCTGCAGTCCTTCTCCACCTATTGTCATGGGTTGTTAACAGTGGATGTTCTATCTTCTCGGATAGGTGGTTTGAGAGAGGGGTCAGGAAAATCCCTCACTCAACAGGGGTGGAAGCTTTAAATACAATCTGTTTCCTATTTATCATGCTGCCCTTTCATCTGTCTCCAGAAAGATCAGGACCACACACATTAGAAAGACCACAGAGACAAAGACTACCATCTCTCCTCAGACTGAAGAAGCTACTTGGATGAGTAGCAAAACATTTCAACCTAATCCGAAAGAAGTCCAGTTGCCATGACTCAACTTCCAGATAACCTCACCTGGATGATTGAGAATCTTCACAGATATATTTCCCCCTATTGTTTTGCATCACTGGATATTTTTGAGGAGTGTAAACATACTACAGATTTGCACCCAGTCCTGAATTTGCATCCATGCACTTCCTTTATGCCACTGGACTGAGGTTAGATCTACCAAGATTTGCCAGGATCCCTGGGACTCAAGCACAGCAATGGAACCTGGGAACCAAAGAGTAAACCAGGTTGAAGCCTGAGCTGATGCTTGTGGGCATAAGGGAGCCTGGGAGAGGAGCGGGGAGAGAAGATGGCATAAAGAAGGGACAAAGTGAAGAAGGAAGCCACTCAAACAAATAGGATAATTGTTTTCTCCCTTTATTTATTTATTTTTTATTTTATTTATTTAATTTATTTGATTTATTTGATATATTTGATTTATACCCCGCCTATCTGGACTACTCGTCCACTCCAGGCTTTGATTCTCCATTTCACAGGACTTTTATACTTCCTTCTGGAGAAACTAAGAAGGATGTTTAAACCCACCAATTTCTGACCAAATTCCAACATTTCACAAACCAAACAATAACAATCAAAAAGGTTCCCAAAAGGTACAGTATCAATGAAAACAAGATATATATATATTTGTGTCACCTTCTGAATCATTTCCCAAATGGCAGAAGAATCCTGGATACGTCTAAGCTTTCATTATTCTTTCCAGAGAAGTTTGCAAAAGATTAGCTTCTGGTGAAATAAGTAGAATAGAGCCAGCCCTGCTGTTGTGTAAAATCAGGAAATCTTATATCTTCAGCATTCCATGCTCTGCTTTAGATAGCAGACTGTCTAAGGTTTTTCCTGATGTAGCCTTTTAGAACATACAAAAGCTTCATGTATGTGATGTCAGAATACAATAGTGTTTCATTTTTTAAAACTAAAAATATTTTATATCTAGAGGGATATCTGTCTTAGCCCATGGCCCCAAATACAGAGTCTGTATCCAACAGCAAATTATAGCATTCCTTCAGGTTTTACCCTTGAATATAAACTTATTTTATCCTGTGTTTTGTTCTTTCATGGAAATGCATTTCTGCTTCTTTTTAAACTCCATGAATTGATTCATCAAATACAGTACAATGTTATGATCTAGGAATGAAATCATCAGTGTATTCTGCCTTTCCCAGTTGCAAAAAAACAGGCATCACAATGATTACATGTACA